CCACCCTTCGCCGGCGCGCCCGCCTCCGGCGACCGGCGCCGTGCCCCGGCGACCGCACGCCGTCTCCGGCCACCCTCCGGCCATCTCCGTCGTCTCCGGCGAGGTCCGGTGGATCGGAACAAGATCCACCGGTCCCTTCATCCAAACGCGCCTGCGCCCGACCCGGATCTGCTCGTCCCGCACGTCTCCATCCCGGGTTGACTTTTCCCGCGAGGTCTAATTTCTCTAAGTCCCCGAGATTTCCATGTTTCATATGCACATGTTCATCGTGCCATAAATTTGCATCCATAGCTCCGATTCATGCATATAGCATATCAAAATGTTCGCCTCAGAGAGTACATCATTTCATTCCATTGCATCATTTTCATTTGAGTTCATCTTGATGCCCGAAATGCTGTTGGAAGAAGGCTACCTGAGTTAATTGTCAGATCTGCTGCTCCATTTAGATATTTGTCATTTTTGCCATGATTATTGTGTGCATGATATGTCCATGATCTCTACATATGTTTTGTTAAGGGTTTTGCCATCTTTCCAGAGGTGCAACCCATGTATTTTTGTGATGTGTGTGGTGACTAGCACAAGCTTGCAAAGTGAGGCACTTGGTAATGCTGATTTCAGGGACTTAGCATTTCCACTAAGTCCTTCGACTGTTTATTTCATTATGCCATATGTTCATGTTGTTTCCTAGTGATCCGTGCCTCTTTTGAGGATGATCAGTAAGGATGTTTTTTTAATCTTATAGTGCTCTATCCATCCATGTGTTTGTTTGCAATTGTGGAGCACCCTAGCTTGAGTCAATCGAGCTCTACTTTTGCTATTTCGTGAATTTGGGCAGATTGTCTACTTGTTAGTGATTTTGCCGAGGATGTTGTAGTTGATTCGTGCATGCTATGTTATTGTTCTTGCCATGTCTAGCTTGTATAATGTGTATTCTTGATGGGTGTATGCTTAGATTGTCATGCCTTGCTCTGTAGTGAGTGCATCGAGCTCGTAAACATGCCTACTTGATATCTGTTTCAGCATGCTCCAGTTTTCACTAAGTCTGTGATCTGTTTATGTTTTTGCCATGTTCACATGCTTTCAAATGTATTTTCTGATCCCTTTTGGCTCAAGGTCACTAAGGGATTTTTGTTAAGCTCTTTGAGTAGCTCCATGCCATGCTTTACCTTTCCATGTTCAGGTCCTGCAGCATATAGTTTTCATGCTCCAAAGTGAGCTACCTGATCTGAAATTCCAGGCTTGTGTTAATTTCACTAAGTCTGAAACCTGTTTACCAATTGCACTTTTGCCATGCTTGTTTGAACCTGTTAATGGATGAATTGGCCGTAGCTCAGTGTTCCTCTTTTGTCAAGCATCATGAATGGATCCCTGCCATGTATTTTGTTGCCATGTTTGAGTGCTGTAACATGTTCATCTTGTTGCATTTAGATGGCTACTTGCTGTAAATCGCAGAACGTGGCCATATTTGAATTGCTTGCCATTTCCAAACCGTAACTCCGATTCCGGTGATCTTTATATCGTTTTCAAGCGATTTCATCTCATCTTTCCAGGGGCACACTTGGATTTCCAAGTTGAGGCCAGCTTCAATCATTCCTTGTCAACTCATGCATATGCATCGCATACCGCATCCCGCATATCATACCATGTTCATGTGTTGGTTGTTTACTATGTTGTGTGCCTCTTTCCGGTGTTTGCTTCCTCGGGTTGGTTCCGATAACGTCGCGTTTGTGAGGATCCGTGCGTCTACGTCCGTTTGTCTTCTTCATGGACTCGTTCTTCTTCCTTGCGAGATTTCAGGCAAGATGACCATACCCTCGAAATCACTCCTATCTTTGCTTGCTAGTTGCTCACTCTTTTGCTATGCCTATGCTGTGATACCTATCACTTGCTTATCATGCCTCCCATATTGTTGAACCAAGCCTCTGACCCACCTTGTCCTAGCAAACCGTTGTTTGGCTATGTTACCTCTTTGCTCAGCCCCTCTTATAGCATTGTTAGTTGCAGGTGAAGATTGAAGTTTGTTCCTTGTTGGAACATGGAGATGTTGTTCCTTGTTGGAACATGTTTTACTTGTTGGGATATCACAATATATCTTATTTAATTAATGCATCTATATACTTGGTAAAGGGTGGAAGGCTCGGCCTTATGCCTGGTGTTTTGTTCCACTCTTGCCGCCCTAGTTTCCGTCATATCGGTGTTATGTTCCCGGATTTTGCGTTCCTTACGCGGTTGGGTTATAATGGGAACCCCTTGATAGTTCGCCTTGATTAAAACTTCTCCAGCAATGCCCAACATTGGTTTTACCATTTGCCACCTAGCCTTTTCGTTTCCCTTGGGAGTCGCTCTCCTGAGGGTCATCATTATCTTAACCCCCCCGGGCCAGTGCTCCTCTGAGGGTTGGTCCAACCGAGCGATGTCTGGGGCTACCAGGGGCAACTCTGGGTTGGCCTACCCGACGTCTTGCTCATCCGGTGTGCCCTGAGAACGAGATATGTGCAGCTCCTATCAGGATTTGTCGGCACATATGGGTGGTGTTGCTGGATTTGTTTTAACCTGTCGAAGTGTCTTGAAGAACCGAGGTACCGAGTCTGATCGAAACGTCTCGGGAGGAGGTCTATTCCTTCGTTGACCGTGAGAGCTTGTCATGGGCTAAGTTGGGACTCCCCTGCAGGGATTTGAACTTTCGAAAGCCGTGCCCGCGGTTATGGGCAGATGGGAATTTGTTAACGTCCAGTTGTAGAAAACCTGAAGTTGACCTTATTTAAAATACATCAACTGCGTGTATAACCGTGATGGTCTCTTTCCAGCGGAGTCCGGGAAGTGAACACGGTGTTGGAGTTATGCTTGACGTAGGTTGTTCTAGGATCACTTCTTGATCATACTTTTATCGACCGTGCTTTGCCTTCTCTTCTCGCTCTCATTTGCGTATGTTTAGCCACCATATATGCTAGTCGCTTGCTGCAGCTCCACCTCATACCTTTACCTTACCCATAAGCTTAAATAGTCTTGATCGCGAGGGTGCGAGATTGCGGAGTCCCCGTGGCTCACAGATACTTCCAAAACCAGCTTGCAGGTGCCGATGAGTCCGTGCAGATGACGCAACCAAGCTCAGGAGGAGCTCAATGAAGATCTTGTCCTTTGTGTGGTTTCGTTCTAGTTGATCAGTAGTGGAGCCCAGTTGGGGTCGATCGAGGACCTTGTCGCATTTGGGGTTCTTCTTTTATTTTGGTTCCGTAGTCGGACCTTGATTGTATCTGGATGATGTAATGCTTTATTCATGTATTGTGTGAAGTGGCGATTGTAAGCCAACTATGTAACTCTTTCCCTTATGTATTACATGGGTTGTGTGAAGATTACCTCACTTGCGACATTGCTTTCAATGCGGTTATGCCTCTAAGTCGTGCTTCGACACGTGGGAGATATAGCCGCATCGAGGGCGTTTCAACAACTCATAGCTGAACAACCATGCTCCACACCAATCGAAATTGTTGGGTCATTAAGCAAGCCACACTGCTCAACAACAACAACCCCAACAAACCCAACCCTTGCAATGACGAACAACAACAACCCCAACAAACCCAACCCTCGCAATGACGATGACGGGGACGGGCACCATCCCGGGCGGGGCAATGCCGACCAGAGCCAACTTTTTCTCCTACCTGTTACATCTCTCCCTTGTTCTTGTTTTCTCGTTCTTCATGTTGGAGAGCAACGATCCTCAAGGCGATTGGACCAACCTAGGGTAGCCCATAGGCGGGGAGCCAACTTTTTCTCCTACCCGTTACATCTCTCCCTTGTTCTTGTTTTCTCGTTCTTCATGTTGGAGAGCAACGATCCTCGAGGCGGTTGGACCAACCTAGGGTAGCCCATAGGCGGGGTCCCTCTGGATGGTGTAGGGTTTTGGGTCTACAAAAGCTCACCCATGTCTTGCATATCACACACCTAGCCAATGACGTATGCCGATGTTCGTCTGCGAAGATGTTAGAATCGGAGAAGTCTGGAACCCGTTGAGTACGCTGAGCCAGGACATCAGTTATTTTGGAAAACATGATCGATGCCAAAACATCAATTATAATTACTTTGGAAAAACCGACCGATGCCAAAACAACAATTATAATTACTTTGGAAAAACCGACCGATGCCAAAACATCAATTATATTTACTTTGAAACAGAGGGAGTATTTTGTTTATCATCCTATGTGATTTTACATCTTGAATGTTCTGCCTCCAATCATCTCAGCTATGATCAGTCCCAGGATAAGGATATGTAGTCAAACAAACAAACATATAGCAATCTCAAATTTCATTGCCAAAAACAGCTCTACGCTTGCACCTGGGAAACACCTGGAGACAGTATACCACTCTGTTCTGTAGCGATGCCAGTACAGGAACCACTCCCGCGATTATAAGAAATGATCCCAAATGGAAAGACAACTCAAGTGTAATCAATGACACATTGATCATACAAACTAAACCATTTCAGGACACAGGGTACTCATATAGGAGGTGAATAGCAATGTGGCTTTCATAAAATGGCCACAACGGGGATTTCACGTCTGATTTGCATGAGCTGGTACCAGTCTTGTTGCCAAAGGAAAAGAGAGTGATAAGGGCAGCCAGCAACAATCAGCTGGAATCATTTCCCAGAATGAAGGCCTGTACCTCTGACCAGCTAGAAACCGTATGAAGAACTCCAGATCGCGCCTTGAAGATGGATGCTTCTTGCTTCCAGAGCCGCCTTTGCTTCTCTACCAAACCAGGAAGCAACGGAACAAAAGAAACACCAAACTGTTTGCCCACTCTCCGCAAGGTTGTGCTTGATCCAACAACAATGCCAACATCTGCTTCCAACAAGCAAAGCAAATCTCCAACTGAGTCCCCGATATAAACAGACAAAGATGGTGTTATACTATCCAGGTCACTTTTGATGATTTTGAACTTCTCAACTTTGTCTAGTGGAGACTCTATCTTTCTGTTGATGTGACCAGTTGAAACAGATCCCTCAAAGGTAAACTCGTTGGAATGTATGTTTACTCCGTCAAGACAACCAACTGCATGAGGGCATGAGCACATAAAAATTACACGAGTTTTGGCTTTTGACCTTAAACATAAAAATACGAGTTTTTGGTATAAAAACACTGCAGCAGACATGTCCAGGGAACACCAACCATTGCCCCCAGAATTAAAGATAACTAGCAAACATATAAAATTGCTAATCTCGGTAGTACTGTTAGTTTTGATCAAGTTGCCAGATGAAGATCACTGTTTGTTCGAAAGAAATAAACCCAAGTTCTGTCAAATATTGGTTGACCCTTACTTGGCAGTTCCTCACAGATCAACATAATAAGTAAAAAGACCAACAACAAAACACTGGTACTTTTGCTAATTTCTGTAGTACCGTTGGTTTTGATCAAGTTGCCAGATGAAGGTCATTGTTTGTTCGAAAGAAATGAACCCCAAGTTCTGTCAAATATTGGTTGGCCCTTACTTGGCAGTCACTCACAGATCAACATAATAAGTAAAAAGACCAACAACAAAACACTGGTACTAACTAAATGATACAGTAATCATGGTAAACAGCACTCATAAAGCTATTGCTACTGTTCAAAAAAGACAAGTCCTCTTTTTGCAAGGAACAGTTCAAATGATAGTCAGTCACAAGGTCATACTGATAACAAAATAATCAATGTACACCAAGGGCAAAATTCAACTGTAAAGCAACAAGTTGTAAACATGTAGTGACCATCATCAGAAAGAAATGGAAGAAAAAATGGCCAAGGGTTTTCAGCATTACCTGATGAAAAGGCTGACCTAATAAGCTCTGCACACCAGCAGTACGAAAGAATATGGATATCTAAATTGACCTTCTCCCTTGTCTCTCCAATCTTCTTAAAGAAATTTCGACAACCATCTTGCAGAATAAGCCGCTCCCCAGCTTTTCTGATATCATCTAAGTTCATTCCCCTCAAGACACCGGAATCAATAACCCTAGAATTTGCCTGTCTCTCAAATTCTGATAGCACTTCAAGACCTTTGTATAGTTGATCGTAGTCTACTGACTTTGCTGGAATTAAACAAAAAGCAATCAAATCATCAGCTGGTTATTGCAAGCATGGTTATGCATTACTGGTAAATTGCAAATTTTCATCAGAAATTAATCAAACAGAGAGAGCATTATGCAGACCTTCTTCTGGAGGAAGTAACTTTTGTATGCATTGCTCATGCTCTTCCATGTACTGATTAGATAGCATATTCCATGAATTTCTCAGGTCTGCTGATTTTGTACGGTCAAGGACATTATCAGACCCACTCTGACTAGCCTTTTGGTGTGATAAAATCGCAATCTCCGCCAAAATGGCAGACGAATCAACAACAGTGCATGTCAAATCAAAATCAGAAAAAATCACGAGCTTGTCTTTGGGATCACGATATCTTGAAAGTGGAGCTACAACAGGTTCTTCGAGGAGCTGAGCAGAGAAAAACTCAACCTCCAATCTCATAGCTTGTTGGTAGAGCTTCCCAATAATCTCGAGCTCCTCACCAGTTAAAGAGACACTTAGTTTATCAAGCAACTCTTCTATTTGGAGTGCATTACTCTGCAGCGGAGGGGGAAACACGCATTCACTGGTTCTATTAAAGCAGGCCAGTATTACATGCAGAAGTAGGATCAATACATAAATGAATGACATGTTCTATACCTCAAAGTCAGTGGCTGCATACGTATCAATCCATTTCTTGTATGGGTGATTTTCATCTTGTTTCAGGAAAACGCCGAGTTCTTTGCCAAGATATGCATAAAGCCTCATGCACGGAGTCATCGCCCCAACAGTGTACGCAGCAATTTTTGTCTTCTCGAATGGTGTGGCCATTTTATCAGAACCTTTCCCACCATCAACTTTTCCAGCTGCAGTTGCAAGTAAGAAATCAGTGTACTTGGTTGTTGCTGGGCTTGGAGGGATCTCTTTGGTAGGATCAACTCCCCACTCCTGCAAATTGGATAGCCAAGGCAACTAGCTGAGTAATGAAAACTCTTGGTATTAAAAAGAAGATCCTTGTGGGGAAGAAAATTTAATTAATACAGTAGCAATCAGTATACGAGAGTATAATCCAGTCCAAAGGACTATTATATACATACATATAACTGCAGCACACGGCGTGCAGTGAAACTGTGATTTATCTCTCTGGCAGGACCTAAAAATGAAACCAGATGGCACCTGCCGAGCATTTTGTTTGTAGATGTAAGATTTCAAACTTCATAATCCAGTGAAATATGTATATGATTTACAGTTGATATAGTTGAAATCATCAGGTATGACTTAAATAATCATCACCAATGAAACAACAGCAAACTTCAATATAAGAATCAATAGCTGGGTTGTTAAATGCACGCACAGGTTTGTTACATTGTATCTTAAATATATGAAAAGAGGCTCTATAAGATAATAGCAATTGTACGTGGAATCCGACTATATAAGGTATTTCATATCATACTATCCTGAACAAATTGGTTTCTATCAACGTTAGTAGCATGCTGGACATCCGTTTTTATCATTATATGCAAGAGGGTCAGATCGGGTCGTGGGTGCAGGCAGAGCCTCCGAGAGGGACAAGTAAATCCGAATCAATGGCGAGGAAATCAGTTGTGTGTGGGGTGAAGAATGGGGTTGGCAGTTGAGTAGGATCAGGACCTGGAGTACGGAAGAGTGGAGGTTGAGCTCGCGGAGGATGGCTTTCCGAAGGGCGGTGATGGTGGCCTTGTCATCGTCGTCGTCGGCGCACTCCTCGGCCATCTCGTAGCTGATGGTACGGAATGGATCAGATCCAGGGTAATCAGAATGTAAAGGCGAGATTGAAGGGGAAAGGCTTACGCGCGTGCGAAGGCGTGGAGGAAGTGGGCGTCCTGCGCGAGGTAGTGGCGGAAGGAATCGAGGCGGAGTGACCCCGCGGCGAGGGAGAGGAGGAAGGGCGTGTACGTGGCGAAGGCGGCCTCCCGCGAGGAGGCGGCGATCCAGAAGCGGCGGGCGGCAGAGCCCTCGGCGACGGCCGCCGCGGAGGAGGAGGTCGTCGACATCTGCTTGTGGTGGCTGGTGGGGCTGGTGCGCGTGACTCCTGGCCAAGAAGAGGATAATGAGAAGAAGGATTTGGTTGTTGGATTTGGGCTTGGGGGTAGCGCTGGCAGCGGGAGGCGGAGGCGGAGAAGGCGCATCCGCCCCGTCCTCGCCGCCGATTGAATTGGAGGAGGAGGCAAGTGGAGTAACCGGCCGCCGGCAATGCGTGCGGTCTCCCTTCCCTTCCCTTGGTTGCTGTCCAACACCGTACGCACCGTAATTGTTGGAAAGATAAAAAAAAGTTCCAACTCGATTTTGCTGCTGCAAGGAAACTTCCTAGACTTCAATTTTTCTTTTTCTTCACTCTTGCGAGGAGCAGGTTCTCCTGGGCCAACTCCAACGCACAAACACAAACGCACACAATTATTTTTCATCTGTTTGAATCAGCAACCGGACACCAGCATATGTTTTTTGTCTGTCGGACTGTAAGGCGCCCAACACAACAGACCTATTTAACATTTATGATTTAATAAATCAACATTTTGAAACATAAAATATTTCACACCAAAAGTACACAAACTTAACTTAAACATAGTCCCAACATTTCAACATTTAAATTTAAACTTAAAAAGATAAAAAGGGCATGGATCTACTCCTCACCTCGTCCGCAGTGAGGTAGACGAAGGGCAGTGGCTGCCATGGGGCAAGTGGCGACGGCGCGTGCAGTGTTGCTACAGCAAGCGGCACCTACTCCGGCTCAGGCTGTTGCTACACCACCGGTTGCCTCTCTGGTGATCACGTCTCCGCGCCCACCCACACGGTTAGCGCGGACACAATCTCTGACGCGCAGGGCATTGTCGTCGTCCACGTCTAGGTTTGCCCCTCCAACGTCGGGTTCCAGCGCACGTCCGGCTCCTCCTCCTCTTCTTCATCTTTCTCCTCCACCACCACCCCATCCTACGGCTTGGGGACAGCAACATCGCATGCGTCCAATAAGGCCTGCACCTCCGTCAGGCGCTACTGTGAAAATGCTTTTTGGTGGGATCACATTAGTGACGAGCGATGTCAAGAACTCGCCATAGATATTTCGAAAAAATTCCAGTGGCGGGTGGAATAAAACGACAGCCACTTGAAATTGCTAGTTATCGACTAGAGGGGGGTGAATAGGCGATTTTTATGAAAGTCTTCAAAACACGAGGTCTTTGAAGACAAATAATTAATATGAACCTATATGATATGTAGCGGAAGATGAACTACACTAGACATGCCATAGACAAGTAAGCAATATAGTGAAAGCACGAAGACTAATAGCAGATATGTAGTATGGATCGGAATAGAAGACATTATGAAGCCAAACAAGTAATAGTCTTCGCAAAGTGAAGTCAAACAGATCAGGCAAGCAAGCAATGACTTCACAAAAACAAACTATAATGTAAAGAAGGTAGGGGATAGAACCAGTAGCTTGGTGAAGACAAGGATTTGGTAGACCAGTTCCAGTTGCTATGACAACTATACGTCTGGTTAGGGAGGCTGAGATTGAACTCAGAAGACGTGTCTTCACCTTATTCCCCTTGAGCTAAGGACACCCAGTCCTCTCCCAATCACTCTGGTAAGTCTCCAAGGTAGACTTCCAAACCTTCACTGACTCCGTTCACTGACGATCCGCAATGACTATTGGATCCTCAGAACGTGACGCCTAACCGGCTAAAGGATACACAGTCCTCAAGTGTAACAAGTCTTCAGGTCACGCAGACATAAATACTTCAGTGATGCCTAATACTCTTTGGCTCTAGGTGTTTTGGGCTTTGTCCTCGCAAGGATCTCTCTCTCAAAGGCTTTGGAGGTGGGTTGCTCTCAAACGACAAAAGTCATGCACTAACTCTGAGCAGCCACCAATTTATGGCGTAGGGGTGGGCTATTTATAGCCAGGAGGCAACCCGACATGATTGTCCGAAATGACCCTGGGTCGCTAAGAAACCAACACGTGTTCAACGGTCGGGTTTCAAACACACGCAGCAGCTTGGCTTGGGCTAAAAGCAAAGCTGACTCATCTAACTCTGGATAAGATTTGCTCTCATTGTCTTCGCTCGAAGACATATGATTTTGGTTGAGCATCACATCAGTCATCTAACTTTGTTCACTTGGACCCCACTTAACAGTTCGGTGGTTCCTATGACTCAATAAAGAAGAAAAGGAAACTACGAAAGAAACTGTGTCTTCGCACTCCATAGTCTTCAAGTGAATGTCTTCACCGTCATTATCTTCAACGTGAATGTCTTCACGAACCACCATTGTTTTCAATGTCTTCATACATTTTAGGGGTCATCTCTGGTAGGTAAACCGAATCAATGAGGGACTACTACTTGTGTTATCCTGCAATTCTCACAAACACAGTAGTCCCTCAACCATGTTTGTCGTCAATACTCCAAAACCAACTAGGGGTGGCACTAGATGCACTTACAATCTCCCCTTTTTGGTGATTAATGACAAGCTGGTTGAAGTTTTCAACGAGGAAAAAAATATGTGAAAGTTAAAGTACATGGGCATTGTCTTCATAGGTTGAAAGAGGCTCCCCCTGAAGATGTGCATATAAATGTTTTGCCTTTGAATGCAAATGCACATGGCAGGTTTTGCTTTGTGGAGATCTTCTTCAACACATGAAGACAATTCATCATGCATACACAAATGTGATGAAGATAATGAAATGCATAATGAGAAATGGGTGTATGCATAATGACTTCATGCGGGATTTATCATCGCATCCTAAGGTAGCAGCAAAAGTGGCAGACGACCATCAAGTTTAAGTGTTACAACTCAAAAGCCAATAGTTCAAGAACGAGAGTTGTAAAGACTTAGGCAAAAAATAAGCACCCGACCCATATGGACCCGCTTGAAGACTATCAACTCATATGCTTCTCCCCCTCTTGTCAGTAATGACCAAAAAGGTTTGAAGACATAGAGTGTCTACTCATTCCCAGGCGGTGAAAATGTTGGGGCAGCAGGGTCGACGCTGGAGTTGGGTGGTGCAGAGGGGCCTGATGTTGAATCATGGTGAAGTGAAGCCATCGCTGGTGAAGTGGCGTCGTCCTTTTCATCTATGACTCATGCAACAACAGTTGGAGTCGAAGATGAATATTCAGAATCTTCAAGGGAAGGATTTGGATGCCAACTTGCTGATTGGGGAGGCCTAGAGTCAAACTTGAAACGTTAAGTGAAGCCATCTTCTCGAAGATCGTCTTCAGAACAGAGCATTGTGAGGCTCTTCCAGGACCGCCGACATGCTTCATGTGCAACAAATGAGTTCTTGGTTGCAAGGTTGTGAATGCGATTGACATCAATGAGAAGACTCTGCATCTGGCGCTTCATCCAGTCATGATGCCTATCCTGCTTCGGGTGAAGTGATACAAGAAGCTCTATGTCATTCAGGACACGGGCACGCTTCTGAGGCCTTTGAGCTACCGTGCTGGTTGTGGCATCAATGTTTGCATGATGTGATAGACGAAGTTGATTAGTAAGAGGACCAGCCGAAGTAGGAGGATTAGGCACATGAACTCCTTCAATAGGTTGAGTGAAGCTTTGGAAGGCAACATTGTCTTCACGAACAGGCTCCTTTGCGGGCTCTGGGTATATGGTTTTATGTGACATGTCAACTTCAGGTAGAAATACGACATGGTTGCGTGGTGAAGCTTGATAGTTGATTGTGGAGTGAAGCTTAATGAGCCGCATAACCCACAGAGCATAAAACTTGAGGCCAAACAGATCAATTCCTGAAGTAGCCAACTAGCGGATGAAGAAGTCTTCAGTGTTGAATCTGATGTGATTGATGATACAGAAGACAATTGTCTTCATGGTGCCCTCAATTTTGGCGTGAGGAGAATGACCCTTGATTGGCCACAAAGTATGCCTCAAGATGTGATATATATAGTACTGTTGGGGAACGTAGCAGAAATTCAAAATTTTCTACGCATCACCAAGATCAATCTATGGAGTAATCTAGCAACGAGGGAAGGAGAGTGTATCTACATACCCTTGTAGATCGCTAAGCGGAAGCGTTCAAGTGAACGGGGTTGATGGAGTCGTACTCGCCGTGATCCAAATCACCGATGATCCTAGTGCCGAACGGACGGCACCTCCGCGTTCAACACACGTACAGCCCGGTGACGTCTCCTACGCCTTGATCCAGCAAAGGGAGAAGGAGAGGTTGGGGAAGACTCCATCCAACAGCAGCACGATGGTGTGGTGGTGGTGGAGGAGCGCAGGACTCTAGCAGGGCTTCGCCAAGCACTACGAGAGACGAGGAGGGAGAGGGGTAGGGCTGCGCCAACACGAAGATTGAATCACATGTCTTGGGCAGCCCCAAACCTCAAGTATATATAGGGGGAGGGGAGGGGCTGCGCCCCCACCAAGGGTTCCCTCCCTAGGGGCGGCGGCAGCCCCCATATCCCATCTGGGAGGCGGCCAAGGGGGAGAGAGAGGGGGGTGCACCTAGGGTGGGCCTTAGGGCCCATCTACGCCTAGGGTTTGCCCCCTCTCCTCTTGAGGCGCATGGGCCTTGGTGGGGAGGCGCCCCAGCCCACCTAGGGGCTGGTCCCTTCCCACTATTGGCCCATGTATGCCTCCGGGGCTGGTGGCCCCACCTGGTGGCCCCCCGGACCCCTCCGGTGGTCCCGGTACACTACCGGTGATGCCCGGAACACTTCCGGTGGCCAAAACC